TCTGCAAGGTTTGTGGTTGGGAAAACGGAGAAATGTGAAGAAGTTTTGATCTGATAAAAAAATGGAGGCTGATAAAAAACAGGTGCCCGGACCACTCTTGGAAGGCACAGACAGAGGGCCTCAGTTACTCTGTGGAGGAGAGGTGAGTGTTTCCTTATGTAGATAAGATGGAACCTTTAGTGTTTTAAAAATGCAAACAATGTTTATTTGTTGCTCATAAGTAATTCATGGACCCAACAATATTCAACAAAACTTGTTCATTTTTAACAGATTTCTTAATGGGTATCATTTTACAGAAAACCACCAACAAATAAATATATGAAAACAATTGTTTTTGACATCACAATGGTTTAAACACATTAAATAATTCATTAAATTGTGCTTTACATCAATGAAAATCCCTAGGTCTACAAACTATCTTTTAAATAGGAATAAAAGTAGATATGGTTATTCACAATACAATCTCTTAGTAGCAGAGTTCACACACATTATTGCACATAAACAGAAGGAAAATTCCTAAATAATAAAGCCTATTAATTTACCCTTTCATCTTAAATATGGCAACTGATGGGAACTCTTGAATTTTAATTTTTTTCACTTCCAACATTTACTTGAAATCACAGAGCTAGTGATATGGCCAAGAAGAAAGCCAAGGACATTGTAGGCTATGGAACCCATTTCCCCTCCACAAAATATCAACAAAGAAAGTATTGCAAGAACCAAACTGAGAGAACTGTTTCAGTGCAAACTGGGTACCTTTTCCGAGTATGCTTTTGCCACATGTAGGGAGGATACAGCAATCTGCTCTAGCAGAATGATTTTATCATGGTTGTTCCTCTCAGAGGGCCTCATACAAGGTATTCTCCACCAGCCTGGAAATAAGATATTCTCTATTCCAGACCGAAAAAAGAATAGCTCCACATATATCATGGGAACAGCAATGGAGGAATAAAAAAAGTCAGCGAGATAACTAGTTTTATAACACCACTGCTTACAACTGATACAAGACTGCAGGTGGGAAACAAGAACCCACTAGTGCAGAAGGAAGCCTGTGCTAACGAGAGGGCCAACCCTAAAAACCTCCTGGTTTAGTAGTGGATGTCAGCTCTGAAACATATCCAGATGCAAAGGTGGTGTGACCTGCCATTTGGTGTGGTTGAGCGGATGCACTGCAGTTAGGAAGTTTGGCTCTGGGTCTGACTTCCATCATTGTTTTCGCTCTATACTTTTGGTTTTAGTGGACTGCAAATACTACCCCACATTGGGTAGAATATGTGGTAATAACCCTAGCAAGGCTATTGCAGCCTCATTGTTAACACAACTGCAGTGAAGAATACCCAGCATCAGAAATGGTGGTTTTGTTCTTTCCCCATGGTGATAAACCTTTTTATTGTTAGCACCGATGAGCAGGGAAGAGAGGACAAATTTTCACTCCTTAATAAAGCATGGCCCATAGGCAATAGGCTGAGTTCTTGGAGTAGACATCAAATTACCAGGAACAAGTTTTAACAACACAGCATGTTTCTCTGTCTGCTCCAAGCCTACAGTGAATTATAACTGGAAAAGGCAGCCAGTGCTGAGGATGTGATGGGAGAGATTAACAAGTACATCTCCATTACAAAAGAATGAGATTTGTTTCGGCACCACAGTAGCAGAAGCCAAATTGCCTTGTTTAAGAAACAAAATAATGCCAGGAAGATGGACAGAAATCCTATAGCGCTGTTGCTCACTGAGGTTTCGAAAGGAACAGACGGTGTTTGGATCTTATATGAGCCGGTGTAATTACAGTGAAGTCCGTGCTGTCAGAGCAGTGAAAACCTGGAATAACAGAGATATGAACCAGGGCCTTTATTTTGCTTTTACCTTACGTTATTTTGGGTGCAATGCCCAAGAGGGAAAAAAGCTGCAAGCCTGTGTCTTAGAAGTCAGCCCGAAAGTATTTCCAAGCTGCTTTATTTTTCATGTGCCAGGAAATTCTGCTAAGTAAACCAGTGTTGTTGGCGCAGTGAGTTTGCTGGATCTGCTGCTGGAGCTGGGGAAGGAGGTGCTGGGTCCTTCAGTCCCAGGGGCTTTGAGCAACACCTCAGCCCCTGGCTGCTGCCCCCCTCAGCTACTTCTGCACAACCTGGGCTATCTGCTACACAGGCTCCAGGGAGAAAAACAACCAACAAACCACCTTCAATTTTAACTAAATCCCAAGCGTTAAGGCAAATCCCGTTAGCATAGATGCTACAGCACATTAACAGCTCTTCAGGACCCTAATCTTGTCTCCTGGGAAATGACTGATGAAAAGGTTAGGCATCGCATTAAGGTACTGCCAAACTACTAAAGCTAATGTAAACTGCCCAAAGACTGCTTTGATTTTCCTCATTAGGCTTTGTTTTGTGTCAGGCAGAAGGAATAGTTTGGAGAATGGCTGGTGTGCTTAGGCAGCTGGAACTCATACTTACAGTCACTGGTGAGGCTGCAGGGAACAATTTCTGAGCTCTCTCTCCTCTCCCCTGAAAAGATAACACTGCATTTTCTAAATGAAAAACGAGGCTCCCGTTGCCATGAGCGGTGCAGAGAGGTGACCTGCTGGGGAAGGAGGCAGGGACGCAAGGAAGGGGACCCTGGTTTTGTGCTCTGAAGGAAAAAGGAAGGATGCCTTACAACAAAAGATGGGCTGGGACAGATTCTACTTCCTTGCTTATCTTCCTCCTTCATGTGAATTTGGCCTTGCATCTTTTGTCCCACACACCTGGCTTTCCTCCCGCGCAGCCCTGGCTCCTGCCAAGCGCCCCTGCTCTGCCTGCCAGCTCCTGTGCATCCCACACCACCACCCACACCGCCTCTGCTTCTGCTGGAGGACCTCATGGAGTCCCCCCAGCATCCGCAGCTCCCTGTGCTCACAGAAACAAGGAGTGCATCTGCAAATCCCGCACATAGCGTATCATAGGTGTCAAAGGCATCCCGTCCCTCTTGCTGTGGGCTATGCAGTGCAGGAGAAGATGAAGCAATGGAGAATGGGGCGATGCGGCAGGACACCAGCCACAAAGCTCCTTCCTGCCACAGGGCCAGGGCCAGCCAGCAGGTAAGATGTCAGCTCACTGTGAATTACCTGCACCGCGCTAAAGGTGCAATAATACCAGTCAGGGGTAGCTCTTCATGGCCTCGCTGTTCTGCAGCCAGGACACGCAGAGCAGGCTTCAGCCCTCGACTGTAAACATTTCGATTTAGCTCTCTGCAGGTAGGTGTCCACATGTGAGCGAGGTGTCTGAGCATTTCTTCCAGGCGATGGGGATCCAAGCGGTACTGTCCAGGGAGTCTAGAGAGCTCCTCGCTCTTCTCTAAGGCAGACATCCCACGCTCGGGCAGAAGAATATTGATCTGCAGTCCTGCGTCCTCCCTTCTGAACACGAAGGCGGGAGGAGATGCAGGTGATCCGCCAGCAGAAAGGGTATTACAGACCAAAAACCACCACTATTCACCCCAAAAGTAGCACATTTGACAATCAGGCGTAAAGCAGCATATTGATAATAAACTACATTAATTATGAGGCATCATCCCGGTAGCCCTCTTCAATTCTTAAAAGCTGTTACTATTTTCCATGTTTAATGTATTATTGTATGCATTAACTCTCAACAGGATCGTTAGATCATATTTGTGATGTTGTGCATAGATAAGTAGCAATAGCATTGTCAGAAGAAAAGAAGATACAGCATGCACTTAAAAAAATGACATGGAAATGAAGATACAAATTTTAAAATTCAGCCTCTTTTTTCCGTAAGACTTTTTTTTTTACTGACTGGATAAAACCCTTGAATTTTGAAAATAAATGAGAAATGTGCATCCACATCAGGTACTCCAGTATTTCTAATTAGCAAATCTGTAAGGTAAAAGCCATTCATGCATGCAATAATATACTTTCAGCATCTCGATTTAGCAGCCATGTTGAGGCACTTAGAGAAATTTCCTCCTAATGCTTTACACTGATGCTAGAAGAAGAAGAAGGAAAAAAACTCTCTTAAAAGATATATGGTGCACAGGATCTTCTTTTTAAAATTTCACTATTACAAATGGAACAACATAAAACCTTGGAATAAAGTTATAGCCACCAGAAAGTAACACGTGGAGGAAGAACCCATTGAATCTTTTTCTAGACAAGGAAGAAAAACAGATACCAATCTCTCATCAAGAAAACAATAAATTTACAAAGACTCTTCATACAGAGTAATAAATATCAAGACTTTCCACATATCCATTATGTATCCTATAAAAATGAAAGCTGATTTTTTTTTTCTAGCCACTACCGTAGTTAGAGAGAAAACCAATTTCAATTGTATTCACTTGGCATCAATGTATTTTAACAGACAATATCATAAACCCGCCTACCTTCACAGACAATATATCTCCAGGCTTTTACAGCAAATCTGGAAAATGTCACACTAATATTTAAGCTCTTCTTGCTCTCTCTTTCCTCTTCCCTGTGGTTTGCTTGGCCCCTCTGCCCCTTTTGATTTCACTGCCTCCAGCCAGATAATCTCCGTGATGCGTGCCCAGCTGCCACATGGACCTCATTTCTCAAGGCTTTCTGTTTGCCACACGCACTCAGAAAGACAGCTGTTACCTGGCTGGGTTCGGGACTCTCAGCATCTGCAGAGAAATAAGCCAACCCCTCCATCACTTCACTTATAAATCATCTCTGATTGCTGGCTAAGAGAACAGAACAAGCAATGCCCAAATCCCACCTTTTCCACGTCGTTTTTAATCACCTCAGCAAGTTTTTCCCTTAATCAAAACACAGCATGAGGAAGTTTGAAGGGCAATGTGCTTTCCTCCATTTCATTCATGAGAAAGCTACTCACTACAGTTGCAAAGGACAGTATGAAATAAACGAGCTCTCATGTCATAGAGGAACCAAACCAGGCATTTTTTCCCAATTTTTCATTCATGTCTGCACAAGTTTTGGTAGCTAAGATTGTATAGGGTACATCTGTTAACGCAGAGCATATAGCTCTCTCTTCAACCCATCCTCATAGCTTAGGGCTTTGAAGGAAGTCTTCTTGGATGGGAATCTATTCTACTGCCATTTAATAGCACTAATCAATATGTATTGAGAAAAAAATACATTCTCCTCACTGGCAGAAACCAAGAAAAACAGAAAAGGAGGGGTAGTTATCAGATGTGGTCTCATTTACCAAAGCAGTAGGCCTTTCTTGGCCAATTCCCAGGTAGCCAAGTTGCCCAAACTCTCTGATCCTCTCATCAGTTAAAGATGGAGGAGCATCACCACCTTGCGACCTGACTATTATAATCTTCAGTGACGGCTACTTCTGTTGCCTCTTCCCTTGGCCACTGGTGAGCTCTCTGCTCCCGCAGCAGCCGCCGCTCCTCTCGCCTCTTTAGCCGGTTCTTCTGATGCTCCTCCTGCTTGGAGTACTGGAAACGCTGCAGGAAGAGGTCCTTCGCGTATTCGTACAGCTGCACGTCCAAGAAATTCAGCTCCTCTATCCGTCGCCGCACGTCCTCACCGATGTCCACATTGGAGGCCCGCGTAACGTTGAACTGGGTGAACGGGGAAATGAACTTCAGGTTGAATGTCCTCTCAAAGAGATACTGTGTTTTCCTCTGAAATTCAGTGAGCCCGAAGAAGGCCATGTTTTTCAGATTGTTCTTGGCGCTTTGGAGAAGAATCACATTTCTTTCGCTCTCGTTCATAAACGTCAAGTTGTAGCACCCGACCAGGCTGAGGTCTGCCAGCATGCGCACCTGCCGGTTGTTGGCCAGGTTGTAGCTACAGTCCATGAACTCCTGTAAACTGACCCCAGACCAGTCGTCTCCTTCGTAGCAGGTAGGCAGCTCGTCTGGTGTTGGGCTTCTTCCATCACACATGTGAAGGGAAGTTTTCCACGTCGCGCCCCTCTGGACGTGCTTCCATTCGCTCAAGTACCGTGACACCGGATCCCTCAGCATCGTGATGTAATAGAAGTTCCTGAAACACAGCATTAAGCACAGTTTTAAGATTCGGTGGATTTCACTTTTTTTATTCTTCAGTAAAACAATTACCAGCCACTGCCACCACCCCCTTCTCTTTTTCTGGTGTAATATAGGCACTTTAAGTGACTCATTTTGAGACAGTAAAAAGCTTAAAGCTTCATAAATACTGTGAATAAAATGCAAGGTAAGTCGGGACAAAGAGAGAAAGATGAAAGGAAACAAGCATCTATCAGAGAAATGGAATTACTTTGACCTATCAACTGTTTAGGGGTAGATACTTTATGTAGAAGCCAATTAACTGAAGCGTAGTCCCCTCTACTTTGACATGCTAACCCCCAGCAATATCAGAAACAGTGGGAATAGAGGTATATGTAATCTTGCTGCTTCTCTTCTGGCCTGAGACATGTATGTACAAGATGATAATGTGTGCAGTGCTTGGTCAGAATATAAGAGAAGCATGAGCAATTTCATGTGGATGCTGCAAGTGCTAGAAATAACATCACCTGGAAGACTGGCACGAACCACCTACTTAAGAAGAACCCTGTTATTAAATGGGTTGGAGTAAAGATAATGAGACTCAAAATCCATTCATATGGCTTAATTTTAGACAAGTGCTAGATTGAAATTAGTTATAATCATGTAGTACAAAAGCATTTGTTGATATAAAGATTATCATTATTCAACCTCACCTGTCAAGAATATAAAAGAGACACCAAGAAATATTGATTTGAAATAGAGCAAATAACTGCAGAACTCACATTGTCAGTTCATCTTTTAGCTAGTCAATTGAGTTTGTACATCTATTTATGGCAACCTGAAATGGACTGCAACTGAGTATGCTTCAAGCAGGCTTTCACAGATTGAGGTTTTTTTTTTACTGAGAAATGTTTTATTCAATAACAACTCACCTGAATTACAGGGTGATATGATAAAGACAAAGCAAACCCAAAATACTTATGATTTCTGTCAGCTAGAATAACCAGCAGGAGATTCATGACTAAAATTAACACACAGTCTGGTACAGAAATAGGCCCATGAGTTTGCATGACTCATCTGACTGCAAACAATACATTAATAAATCATGAGCCCTAAGACTTCTTAAGCGAAGTCTGATCTCAGTATTCTTCCTTGAACCTACAGAATGATGAAGCAAGTAAGTTGGAGGCAAGTTTGCTGCAGATGTGTAACCCTGTAAACAAACCAACACTTTGTGAGGACCATCTTGTACAAGAACTAACTCCAGCTAAATGAAAAAAATCTTAAAAATCGCTAGCAATCTGAGACGATTACCTTTCTTTTTCAGGTATTACCCATTTTCTGCCACTAAGAATTCCCTGTAGCTTCTCCATAAACCTCACGTTTGTCATAAAAACAGGTATTTCCCTAAATATTCCGAAAAATGCAGATATTTTCCATATTGCAAACAAAGCTAAAGGTAACAGGGCTGAATGCTTTGTCCTTATTCATTCTGCACCTAGAGGAGCTATTCTGTATTCTATGGAATAAGGTTATGAGGCCAAACTATGGCCTATGTTCTGCTGAAGGTTCATTTACTGAACTACTATCTAATGGAAACAGGTGTTTCATGGATGATTTCACAATAGGGTTACAGGTAGAAGGATATAAACGAGGTAGTGCCACGGATATATTTTCATTATCACTTGCATTGGGAGCTATGATTTGTTGTAGCATCAGATGATGCTCTGAAGGATGACATTTCCAAAATAATTTGAGGCTTGGGTTTTCTGGCTGCTGCTCACACGTGATCAAACTGCACTTCAGCTGTTTTGATCCACTTCAGTTGTTTCTTACACAGCTCATAACAATAGTGAACCCAAGGACCACACAACCATGCACAGACAGATATTTCTAAAAATCCCTCTTCACTACTTCTGCAGAGCAGGAAGGACCAGAAGTTTTCCTCTGTTCTCTGCAGTATAGATTCACTGCAAAAAAAGCACTGTCTTTAAGCACAGCCTTCCCTTCTCAAATTGGATGCTCATCTCATCTTGGCTCTACCTTGCATGCAGGAGAACGCATTAAGAACTGCTTTCCAACAAATGGGACAACAAGTGGACACATTTCACTGGTTGTGTGCAGATAAAGCAGCCCAACTCTCAAACACCCATCAGCTCTGAGCATGTTGTTGCAACAGCCAGTAGGTACTGATAGGGATGTGACAGAAAATGACTGAAGCTCCAAAGGAGCAGAATTTTTTTTTTAAATGGTCAGAGATTCAGAGGCAGTTGCCAACATCTGCATTGACAGAGACGTGGCGTTGATTAGTCCTTGTATTAGCTGCCTCTCCCCTCTTCAGATAATTTTCGGTGTTGATATGTGGTAACAGACGGGTTTAAAAGTTGTTCCTGACAATTATTTACACCTCTAGTAATAGTTCTGTCTTTCCTCACCCATCTCCAGCAGTCCCAGCCAGGCATGACTCAGAGCAACTGCAATTAACAAAAATACCTCTTTTGCATCAATCATTTCCATTTCTTCCCTGGATATGTAAATGTGTTCGATGTGCAATAAACAGGAGTAGGAAGCAAATGCAGGGAAATGAGAACAGCGTGTCTTTGCAGAACATCCGCAGCTTCCCTTGTGCAAACTGGGCGAGAAACTTCTGCCAGTCTGGTGCTGCTCCCCCTCTTGTGACTACCTGACTTCAGCATCTGTTTTCACTACCCTGATTAATTTGCTGCATCTTGTGTTATCAACTGAATGGCTTCTTCATCTCGGAGACAAGAAGATTTCTTCCACCTGATCCTGAGCACTGTCCAGATGACACCATTACAATGCTAAACAGAGGACTGGAGGATGCTGTGCAGCAGTCATGGTACAATTTTTTCCTTTAGGGGAAAGGAGGCCATGTCTCTAGAATAATGATATAAGTGAAAATAAATAGGTGATGCACTCTTGTTTCAGTTGGAAAATTATAAAAATTATCTTAGGAAATTGCTTTCAAATGTTGACATTTATGGACTAAACCCAGCAGCATTTCAGAGCTCTCAGTGCCTGATACACAGTGTTCAGTCACCCTAGGGACGGCTGAGGAGTCAGCTCATAATAAAGACAAGAAGCAGTTCATAAAAACATGAAACCAGGGATGGCCTTCAGTCTCCCCTCTCTTCACTGTTCAGTAAAAGAGCATCAAGTCAGCTATTTTTATGAACATGCCCGAGCCACTCTGAATACAGACGTGGACTTGTTCTTGGCATAAATGACCCCCTTGCGACGCCCATGCCTGTGCTTACACAGCTATGTTAAACTTCACGGCTACCCACTGTGGGAAATACTCAGCAAGGAATTAAGTAATAACTTCTGTTACCCTGTTTGACACAGCAAACTCATCACAGACTTATTGGTTTCATTTCAGCGGACTCCCATCATCGATTACTCAAACTGCTGTCACAGGCAGCCTCAGCACTTAAAGGGTAGCCAAGCAGAATACGCTGGCGTGTCAGTGGGAAAACATTTCAAATGAATTAAAAGCCACACCAATTATATATATATCTAATTTATGTCTATATCTATATGCATATTGGTGTGTGCGTGCCTGTGTGTGTATATAAAACTTCACATGGGAATCTGGCCATATGCTGCATTTGTCAATGAAAGACATCAGGTATGATAGTAAATGCACAGTGTGTATTTGCCAATGTACCTTGCCACTATCTATATAAACATGCAAACGTGTACAAACACTTGAGATTACATTTCAAACACCAGCCCATGAGTCACGACGATTGCACCTCCTGAAAGGAAACTTCACGGAAACTTTCCCAGATTAAACAAACTCCTTTTGAGCATAATGGACTGAAATTAACGGGTTATCAAATGGGACACTATGTGAGAGCTGATTTTTTGGACAGATGCTAAGCACTGTAATGGTCAGGGCCAGGGTCTGATGATCCATTCAGGAGCCCAACCAAACACTGGTGTGAAGTGTGGGCTGCACACTACTGTTTACACTGGAATGAAAAAGCACTTGGGAATTCAGAAGGCTCTCATCCCACTCGCATGAAATCCAGTCTCTTCATTAGCATTAGGCAACGAAAACCTTTAATTAATAGAACAGCTGAAAGGAGCTTATAGTTATAACCCAAGAACATATATTTCTTTCACATTATAAGGTATTTTAATATAAATACTCTAATCTTACATTAATCCTTCAATAGCATTGCTCTGGTTTAGAAATTAATTTCAGAGGAGCAGACTCTGATGTTAGCGGAGGCAATCCCAAACCAGGGCATTTTGCCTCTTCTATCGCCACGGAACAGGCGTCCCGGCTGAGGGAGATTTACTAAACAGGGGAAGGATCACCGCATACCGAGAACAAAAACATCCTGTAGGGCCTCCTGGGTGAGGAGGATGAACGGCATCTCCTCTGTTGCTCCCGCTCTCATGTGGAGCAGCCAGCAGGAGGAGAGCTCATGCAGCACTCTCGGAGGCTCAGAGAGGAGAAAAAGCGAGCTCTTCCCTCTTCTTTCAAAGCGTGAGGCAGGACCTTACGTGCTGAGGGCGACGAGCTTCATAAAAGGAGAACAGCGCACTCGTAGCAGCTGAAGCAGAGACAGAGGAATATTTGAGGTGGAGAAAAAGAGCCACTGGAGAATATTTTGGAAGACAGTAGCAGAGAGAAGAAAGAAGAACTCAAACGACTGAAAAACCCAGGTGCATCATAAAGCCAACCACATTCTGCTTCTTCCCGGTAGGAGGGAAAATAAAAGCCCTGGTCAAGTTTATGACCCAAGTTGAGGCAAGAAGTGAGCAGCTTTATTCCTGGAAGTGAGTGTGCTCCCAAGGAAAGGTCTGAAATACCCGGCAAAAGCCAGCCTGGCAGCACGCTTCTACTGACAGAGGTTGTGGAAAGACTAACGGTTAAAAAGGATCTGTATTATGTGAAAATGAAGCCTTATTCTTCCCAGTTTTATCCTGAAGCCCAAATTCTCAGAGGCAGTAACAGAGTTAACCACTGATCAGCAACCTCTCTTC